GTCTGTCATAAAAATTATTAGATATTAGAAGTATTTAAAATAGTTGCCAAACTGATAGACAAAAACATGGCCTGTGGTTTGTATTTGCCTATCTCGTGTTATCAATGAGACCTAGCGCGACTGAGCATCTTTCTGAAGAGAATGGAACGCTCACCTTTCCATGTGAGTGGGCTGTCTCTACTGACATCTTCTGCCTGCTTTGATGCTTGGCCTTTTTAGAGTGAGTTCTGAGCTCTTTCTGCATCCTGCATTATTAGCCTTTTGTTACATATCCTCTCAGTATGCCCTGTGTTTTCACGGTGCTAATGTTGTGTTTTGCTATTTTAATTTTTTATGTTGTTGATCTTTTTGTTTGGTCATTTCACATGAATTATAAGTGGGGTCAAGCCAAGAGCGGGTCACTCAGGCATATGGCCTAGACTGAGCAAAGACACATTGAAACCTCTTATTATTAATATGGGAATTTGTGATCTGCTAACTGTAAACCCACCAACTACTCCACAGGTGAGAGATGAGGCTATCTGCTCGTGTCAAGACTGACAACCTCAGAAACCCTATATGGGCCGCTAGGAGTTAAATCGACTGGATAGTGATGGGTTTGGCTTCGAGTGCTGGCGCAGTGAGTGACATGTGGAGAGACATCATGCTCTCTCGTAGAGGCAGGGATGAGAGCCCAGGCAAGCTGGGCTGCCTGCTTAGTAAGCTTGGCCTTCTCCCTGTGGGCTTGTGCGATCAGAGGGCACGTTCCATCAGCCTCCGGAAGCCGTGCTGATGGTTCAGAGAACACAGAACTGAAACGGACACACCGTGTAGGCAGCTGCTGCGACCATCCAAAGGGAAGCTATGACACGTGAGCTGGGATAGTGGGGTGGGGTGGCGGGGACTGAAGGGAAGAGCCGGGATGGAGACGCAGGGATCTCTTCAGTGTGTGTGGAATAGGATGTCCAGAACCTGGGAAGGAACACGGCTGACACCGGTCTTCGGTGGCGGGCCTGAGTGGACAGCACTGGCAACAAATACGAACACATGCAGGGGGAGAAGCAGATTTCGTGAACGAGGCCATTAGGAGGCCATGAGGACAAAGGCACGTGGGAGGCCCAGGGAAACGGCAGAGGATCCAGATTTGGTAGTATTCGTTATACGAGCATCGATGAAAATAAAAACAATTAAGTGGATTAGCTCATCCCAGGCGAGACCTGGTAAGTATGGAATCGTGGAGAGCTCAGTTTTGGAAGAGCCAGATGACAGCTATGATTTAAGGCTCTCAGCCTGGACCACCAAGGAGGGGAGGGCCCTGGGCAGGATTACTGAGGCCGGAGCAGCTTCTTAGTGCTTTAGACTTGTGAACTCGTTTGTGTCAGCTCACTCAGGAATGATCAGATTTCACCCATCAGAAAGTTCCAAGTCTTGGCTTTTTCTCAGTGAGCCAATTCCTGTTTTTCCTAGGAAAATGAGACCATATGGCTATGGGTTTGGATCCAGTGATACCAGACTTCAAATTCCAACTCCATTACTTTCGGCTGCTATAACTCCTGAGAACCCTGGTGTCCTTGTACAAGAAACTTCTCTCCCTCACAGAGAAGTTTTCCAGCTGAAAAGGAATTACAGATAGAAAGCCTCTCATACAGTGTCCAGACACGGAAGATGCTGAGCGACTGGGACCTTCGTTCAGTCTTTGGTGCTGTCTTTCACTGGGTGTTGGGAGAACCTGGGGTTGAAGACGAGAAGGTGAAGCGCACACCAACCCTGCAGGGCAAAGCAGAACTACTCCCGAGGCTTGCTGAGATGGTAAGTCTGTAGGGGAGCAGGCAGCCTCACTTTCCCCCCGCGGAGTGGCTGGTAGGTTTGAACTGGCCTTGCGGTTCCCAGTCCCATGAGGAAGCCGCTAAACCACCAGGTCTCCTTGAAGAGCTCGGTAGAGGGATGATAAAGGACAATTCCTCCCAGTCTGGAGAGAATGACGGCGTCTCCCCTAAAATCCCCAAAGCTGCCTACCTTGTGAGGTCCCAAGAATTCTAGTCTTCCAAATTCTCTTCTAGGGAAGTCCAGCTTTTCTGTCTAGTTTTCCAATAGGAAAAAAGTTGTCTAGAGAAAAAACTGCAGGGAACAAAAGAGGTAAGCATTCACCAACACTCTTTCCTATTGACAGACATCAGGAACCTGAGTGGAGAAGTAATCTGAAGTCAGTATTCTACAAGTCTACCACGTCTGAATGAGATAAAAAATCAAACAAGGGAGATGTTAAAGTCACAAGTGTTTGTTTCAAAGGCTACTTACCAAATTATTTTGCTGGTGAAATCGCTTGTATTTTAAATGGAAAATATATTCATGTGATGGATTAAATTGTGTCATCCCCCCACCCCCACAAAATAAATCAGTGTCAACTTGGTTGGGCTATGATTCTCAGTGGATCGGCAGTGATAGGATATTTCAATATTGCAAATTGAGGCTTGATTTTTTTCTTGACTTCTTTCCGTTGAAGACATGCTGAGAAGGTTCTTCCTTGTGGGTTTTCTAACTCTAGGGTGGGATGTAAGACACTGACTCAGGAGAGTTACTAGAGTGTGGCGTGCATCACTGTCTCTCTTACTAGGGAGAAAAGGCAGGGAAGCCAGCAGAGGAGGGATCTTCTGACACCAGGAAGCGCCAGGGATCGAGCACATCCTTTGGACCCAGGGCCCTCTTATGGATCCTACGCCAAGAAAGAAAAGTTGGGAGCGGAGTGCATCCTTCAGACTTGGGGTTCGGTGCTGAGAACGTTCTAGACCCAGAAGAAGACTGCTGTTAAGCCACCTGAAGCTAACTGAGGAGCAGAGTCTTGAGAGACAAGGTCCTTCCCAGAGTCAACACAGAAAGCCTTCCCCTCGAGTTGACACCCAGAATTTGAACTTCTGGTCTCCTGAACTGTGAGAAAACGAAAGTCTCTGGTAGAGCCACCCACTTTGGATATTTGTTACAGCAGCACTGGGTAAATAAGACAGTTTGTAGCTGTCAGTTACATTGTGACTACGATTCACACTGGGTATTTTGTAAGGTGTATCAGAAACTATGAGGATACAGAGAGCACTCACTGTAGATCCAGTTTTTCTCGGCCTGCACTTTGGCGGGCACCATCAGTTCACAGGGAGGGAAGCAACAAAAGCAGCCAGCTCTGTGAAATCCATCCTGTGACAGCGAGAAAGTGGTTGAGTCCTTACGTCACTAACATTACTTACGAGGCTGCAGTCTTTTTATTGTGAGTTGTAATTTAATATCTCTACGTAATATCATTCCCCATTTCAATTACATCAAGGTAGAATGTACAATTGCTACCACAATCAGTTTCCACATTTCACTTCTCCATGGACCCTTTGACATTGTCTCCGCCACTGTACCCTGCTCCCCCAAAACCATGTTCTACTTGCTGTCCCTATAGGGTCATCCATCCTGGGTTTCATGGACTGAAAAATGGAAAAGCATATAACTGACCTCCACCGACATAACACCTCTGAGATACATTCTACTGTGAACGAACAAAACAAACCAAAATTACAGAACACTTTGGAAACCAGACCAGATCTAGCCCGCGTCTACTGACAAAGTTTTAACCATTCAAGTCAGAGTTATGCCTTTGATCTTCTATAGTCCTCTCTCCCAAACCCTGCTTAGTGATCACTTTCATCCCTCCCCTCAATTTTCGATAGGGGGAGTTCTCTGGAGGGAGGCTTATTTCCTATGTCGTTCCGCAAATAACTCTTGGACTTCCACTGTCATCCATTGCTTTCTGCACATCGGTTTCTCACAATTTAGGCTCTGATACTGGCCCTTCCTTCAAGAATATTGGAATATGGATTCGAATATGGATTCCAATCCTTCAGTGGCTGATGATGGTGTGCTTCTTCCACGTGGAATTAGTTGACATCTCCCCTTAGATGGCTGCTTGTTTGCAGAAAAGTCTTTTAAGATCCCAGATGCTACTTTATCTGACAGCTGGGCACCATCTAAATTCTTTGCCACATTTTGCTGTAGCTCCCGTATCTTCTGTGTTCCCTTCCTGAGGGTGAGTATGGAGTTAGGCCATGAACTTTCACTGAACTAATTGTTCTTAAGTTGGAGCTAGGATTTAGTGGGAGCCCAAAACCCATTCCACACAGTGTCTTCTTATTGGGTCTCTCAAAAACCACGTACATGGAGCTAAGGGCCCAAAGATTTTCACTTTCTTGGGGTCGTTTATTCACTCAACAAATGCTTCGCCTGGGATTAGAATGTAGCCATTGCCCTCTGCTCATGGGCATTGGATTGCGCATCTATGCGGGATTTCCAATCAGGCAGACAGAAACCTTGGGAGCAAACCTTCTGCCCTGCCAGCAGACCGTTCATAGGGCTTGGCGTACATTTCTAGTCCCATTTTTTGTTTCCTCTTTATGTATACTTTTGCTCAACTCTATCGTAATTTGTTTTGAGTTTTGTATGCTAGCTTTATCTTTTTTTTCTGGAAAAAGAAAGGGAGGAAATATATAAATTAAGGTACTATACATATCTTTTAACTTGCTTTTACTCTGACTTTTATGTTTATTTTGTTCTTTAATAATTCTCAAAAACTTGTTAAAATCAGTTTTTGTCATTTGGTAACATTTTATCTTGATGTTACACAAAAGTACTAAGTTACACAAAAATGCTTGTTTTACTAATTTTTCTCCTTTACCCTGCTTTTTGTCATAAACACCTAGAAATTTGCCCAGGGCCCTCAGGGAGGCAGCAAGGGCAGCTGGAGCACTAGTCAGCTAGCTTCGCAGGCAGTTGTTGGAAACATTGATAGCCTTTGGTTCATGAGCATTTTTTAAAAACTTGATACTAGAAAAGTAAGAAGAAAGAAATGAACGGGCGTGCGTGCAATACCAACATTACAAGGGTAAGCTCTGCCTATGACACTCTGCATTCTTAACATCTTGGAAAGGATCTCGTTTGTTCTTTCTGTAGACGCTTTTTGGATGTTCATAATGTAACTGCTGAGGACAAGAGTAAGTCAAATCTGTATTAAAGCCCTGATGCTGAACCATACATATATTTATGTTACATATCACAGCATGTTTATATATTATTATATTGTAACATATTAGGGGGAAAACAATCTTTTGAGGATGTCATAAAATGATAAATAATCAGGAAATGCAGTTTATTTTCTCTGCCAGTAACATTTGATTATATTTTACATTAAAAATGACTTAATTAAAAATGAAATATACCACTATCAAAATAATGTACAATTGCCCATATTTTAAACTATTTTACAATATAGAGGTTATATTTTAGTAGGTATTATAAAATGTACCATAACATCAATTATTCCTTAAGATTTTAGGAAATATGGCTTAAATAATACACCAAAGTCTCCATCAGTTGCCTCAAAACAGATTCCAGGATACATTTTTGCAAATTTAAATCTGAATAGCATAGAAAATCATAAGGTCTCTGTTAACAACAGGCAATTATTTCCTGCCGGGCAGTTCTTCAGTTCCGGCCTTGGCTCTCATGGAGGAGGAGCAGCAGCGAGACAGGCAGGGTCATATATCTTTATCGTTTCATCCCAAGCACAGTCAGCCACCTGAAGCAAAGACAAGACACGCAGGATCACCGAGAGGCACACACATTCCAGGGCAGCACAGCCTACGTCCGTTAGAGGGGAGTAGACAATCCGCTAGTTGACATCTTTTTCACCAGGAAGAACACAGGGACACATTTGGGGTAAGAGCTTTCCCTTTTTAAATTACACACTTCTCTGGAATGGTTTTTGATCGAAGCTATCTATCTACAGCTTCTCCACTCCCATCACGCCACTGTTGCTGCCGGTCAAGTCAAACCCAAGAAACACCGTAGGACAGGGTCGAGCTGTCCCGTAGGGTTCTGCAGGCTGGAATCTCCATGGGCGCAGACTGCCCCACGTTCTCCTGTGGGGCGGCTGCTGGATTCGAGCCATCGACCTAGTTAGCAGCTGAGAGCTCCTTCCTCCCTGACCCTACCACAGCCACAGGGACATAATGTCCTACTTCCAGAAATACCTGTCGCAAGGATGCAGTCCCAGACTGTGAACTACGACCCCACGCTGCTAGAGGTATTGTGGGGGGAGAAGAAAATAGGTGCAGCTTTGGCCCCAAAGGACCGCTCGTGAGTACAGGTGTGGAGAGTGCGCTAACAGAGAAACGCAGAGGCTGGACTAGGGTCCCAGTGGGTGGAGAGAGCCAGCACCCCTCACCAATGCGGTGGCCTGTGCGCAGGCCCTCTTGTGAGGCAGATGTCAGCGACAAGACTCTAAGAACATACAAAGACGTGACAGGAAAATGGCCCTGGTGTTCAGGAACTGTGGGTTAAGAAGAACACTTAGCAGGTGTGTGTGGCAATGTCTCCTGACCAGGGAGACATTGATATATAACTCCACTGTAGGGCACTCCTTGGACTTAACCTGCCACCCGGGACTGAATATACAGCATTTGCCCAGGAACACCGCTCAGAAGGCCGGAAGGGGCAGGGAAGAAGACAGATAGGAATGGGAGGCTCTGGGCGGAGTGAGCAGAGCTGTGACGTGGTGGGATTGCTGTCAGATGCCGTGGGACAGAATGTGTGCGGCTTACTGAATGATGGGCTAGCTTGTTCGAGAAACATTCACCCAAATAACAATAAACAGGCTAAGATTTTCCCTATATGACAGTAGTACACAGAAGCCCCTGGGTAAAGTCAGCAGTTAGGTGCTCAAATACTGACCACAAGATTGTCAATTCAAACCCACCCAGAGGTGCCTCCAAAGTCAGCCCCCTAAGAAGAGGGTACTGAACATAACAGACTCAAAGGAAGTAAAGAGAGGCCAACAGTTAAAGCAAAATTTAACATTCCATTTACAGTAAAATTAAATCACACAGTATTCAGCAGTAAATTTATCACAAGATAGGTAAAATGTCCACACCACAAATCAAAAAGATTGCAGAGAGATATTTAAGAAATCCTCCATAAATGTAAGCTATACCATGTTCATGAGTTGGAACATAATTACTATTATTAAGATGTTAATTCTTCCCTAAATGGCTTATAAGTAATTCATAGCTCCTTGAAGCTTTAAAAAAATAGAAATGGATAAGGAAACTTAAAAATGTATGTAGAAACGCAGAGGATCTAGAATAGCCAAAGAATCATTAAACACGCACGCATACACACACACAACACAGCAAAATTATGATATTTAATGTTTCCTAAGTTCATGACTTTATCATAAAAACTATAAAAACCAAGGTAGCACAGTATTGGCATAAGGATACACAAGTAGATGAAGGAACTGAACTGAACAGATATCTGGAATAGACCTACATTTCGACAACGAATTTTCAACGAAGGTACGAATGCAATTCAATGAGGGAAAGAAAGCTCTTTTAACAAATGGTAGTAGAACAATTGGACATCGCTGTGAAAAAAATAAACATACCTCAACCCCAACCCCACACCAGAAAAAAATTAATTTGAGGTTAATAGCATACCAAAATGGGAGAGTTACCTTGACATAAAGACTTCTTCAGCCACAGGCAGTAATAACCATAAAACATTGCATTAGTTGGACTGAATAAAAAAATAAGATTTTTGTTCATCATTAGACAGAACATAGGTGTATTCAAGCCACACAATAGGGGAAACATTCACAAAACATACACGTTTGACAAAGAACTTGCATCCGGAAGATATAATTACTATGATCAATAATAAAAAGGCTCAGCTACAAATGGGGAAAAGAGTTTAGCAGAGAAGTCACAAATACACACTGTATGAATGACTAGTAACAGGAAAAAGTGCTCAACATCACACAACAGGAAAGCACACCGCAGTGGGATATAACTGTACTGGGTCCATTGTGCCTCACAGTCACCCTATGGACACGGTAGAACTGCCCTCATGGGCTTCTAAGGCTGTTTATTTTCATGGGAGCAGAAAACCTCATCTTCCTCCTAGAAGCAGCTGGAGTCTTTGAACTGCTGACCTTGTGGTAGCAGCCCAATGCATAACCCCACTCCACTCCACCTGGGCTCCTTACCAACAGGGCTAAAATGAGAGACAGTACCAAATGTTAGCAGGGGGTGGAGCAGCAATGTGACATGGTACAATCACTTTGGAATATTCTTTTGCTGTTTCTAATGAAGTTAAACATACACATTTCTTTTGACTCAAGTGATTCCACTCCCAGATGTTTATCCCAAAGAAATGCAGTCACATTTACAAAAAGATGTATACAAGCATATTCATAGCAACTTTATTCATGAGCGCACAGAATGGAAAAAAGCAAAGTGCTCACTGATGAAGGGAAAATGTGCACAGCAGAACGCTGCTCAGCAGTGAGGCGGGGACTTATGAGGCGGGAAAACTGTCCGAAAGAAAACAGCACATATTGTACATTCAAAGAAATTCTAAAACATATAATTGCTTATACTAATCAAGAACTTCACTCACTATCACTGAGTCCATGCCCACTTACTGCGACCCCCATGGAACCGGGTAGAACTGCCCCAACCCTGAATTTCCAAACTGTAACTCTTTACAGGAGTAAAAAGCCCAGCTTCCTCCTGAGGAGCTGATGGTGGTTTTGAACTGCAGACCTTGGGGTTAGCAGCTCAATATGTAACCACTATGCCACCAGAACTCCTCAGACTAATCAAAGATAGGAAAAATTAGAACAGTGGTATTTGGTGGGGGTTTTTTTCAGCTGAAGGTAGGGATGGGGGAAGCAGAGACTGGGAAGGGACACGAGGGAACGTCTTTGGAAGATGCGTATGTTTTCTGTGGTGCCGAGTGTGGATGACATAGGTCTATCTGTTTCAATGTATTTAAGTGACACCTACAAATAGTTAACACAGTGTGATGATAACAATTGAAGGATAAGGAAGTACAGAAAGAAATAGAAGAACATTGGCAATTGTTACCACTGCACAATGGAAGTTCGTTTCATTTTCTATTAAGTTAATTTCAAACATAATTTGAAATGTTCTGCAATAAGAAGGAATAAGAAATATAGGCAGCAAAGAGAGGATAAAATATTGAGAGGTTTTGACCATAGGTACTTGCACGCTACTCTCCATCTTTTAAAGGCTACAAAAGACTGAAAGTTCCACAGAGGAACCCCAAGTTTTGACAAGTCTAATTACTTGGCTGTCACTACCTGTAAGGAAAAAAAGTGAAATGCATCAGAAGAGATTAACTTCTTAGCGTCCACTAACAGTAGTTGTCCATAGAATCCAAGCTGGAGAGCACACTGGAGACCTCGGAGTCAGCCTTCACTGGAACAGCACAGAACAGGCTCTCCGAGACGCAGCTTTCCCTACTTCATCATCTCCTCGCACCAGCTCACACCCTCAGACTCGGGCAGGTGTGCAAGCCTTCACTAGTCCTCTGGGATCATCTCTCTTCTACTTCCCCTCCCTCTGCTCTGGTCTGCCTGAAGATGGTATCTGCCCTTTCAAGAGTCAACTGAGGACCTTTGAAGAGACGGATGACTATGGAGAGGGCCCGGGTCGGGGGTGGGCACTGGGAGAGAGGAGGGGAGAGGACGAGTAGAGAGGAGGGTTTTACATGAAAAAAATATGTATAAATAAATAAAAATTGCTTCAAGGGGGGGAGGGGAAGCGCTCCAGAATCCTTAGCCCGTAGATCTAAATATCGATCAGTCTGAGTGGCTAACAAAAGCGGAAATGCACAACTGAAGTGGACTTGGAGTCTTTCATGGCATACAGTAGGTCCACTTCAAACATAGGACAAACCCAGCTGTGGTGTGGTTCTCTGAATGCATTCACACCACTGCCGGCAAGTCAGTCTGACTTACAGCAACCCTGTCCGGAGTGTCCGAGACTGTCCATCTCTGTGGGAACAAGCTTTACCTTTCTACCAGGGTTTGCACCCCTGACTGTGGTTCGGAGTCTAAGACCCACCCACAGCACCACCAGGACCCCTTAGTACCTATCAGACTGACTGTACTTATTTATTGATACATATGTCTGCTCTTGGAGAGCAGGAACAGTGTCTTACTGAAACATAGCAGTTATTCAATACATCAATAGATATTAGCTCAATAATGAGTTTTATAGGTTTCAAAGAAAGGTTTTATTCATGTTCACATGAGATTGTTGGACCTGAGACCAGAACCTGGTAAGTTTGACCACAAGAACTGTGCCTCACAGGAGTACTCTGATGGTCACCATGTGCATTAACAACTGCTCTTATCATCTCTGCCCCCACAGGACACAAACATTATAGTAACTTATTGCTGTCTCACTTGTGTATGTTTTTTCAAGTAGTGGGCCCTTCCCAATGTTAAGTGTGAGTAATTATGGGCGAAAGGATTAGAGAAGATACAGGCTTCTAAGACACCCCAGGGGGCCAAACCCACGCCAGCAGACTCAGAGCGCCCCTCCAGCACACGGGGTTCCCCTGGCAGCACTTGGTCTGTCCTGCTGCAGGCGGCCAGGCTGATCTCTAGTCCGCGGGACAGCTGCTGTGTTCAAACTGCCAGCTCGGCAGTTCGCAGCTGCGCACTGCTACTGTTGCGCCACTTTTAAGTTACGGACAGGTGTTAAATAA